CCTTTTAAAACTCTACGATAGAGTAATTACTTAAGAAAAAAAAACTGTATAAAAATGCCGGTTACTAGTTTATATGAGTTTTTAAATACTCCTCCCTCCTCCAACACTCTTGGCTGCAACTAGTTTGTTTAGTTTGTTCATTCATTAAAAATTTTCAATACAAAATCTATAAGTAAAATCCAAAACCAAAACAACAAATACAAAAAATATAAACTAAAACATATTGTACGTAGTATGTGTGTTTAGTTGTCTGTCTGTCCGTCCGTCTGTCTGCACGTCTAAACACGTACATATTGTATTACTTCAACATTAGTCATTACGGCAACAGCAACATCAGTAGCAGCAGCTTTAGCATTAAAGCAACAACATCAACAGCATTTACAATCAGTTATTTAGAATTATGTTGTGCTTTAGTCCATGTTGTTGCTGTTGCAGGTTTTTTTTCTAGTGTTTGCATTGCTGTGCTTACTTGTCGTCTGTTGTGTGTTGCTGACAGCTGTAGACGGCCGGCTCAACCTGTTCCCCTTAAACAGTTTTATTTAGTTGCATTTGTTTGTTTTTTGTTTTCAATTTTTTTTATTTAAGAAAATGTTGCAATTGCTCCGTTTTCTTTTTCTTACTTTTGTTGTTTTCCTGCTAACATTCGTTCAATTTTCAACTATTGGTGTTGTGTCAGCATTACATACTGGCATTTGTTTTCAATTTCATTGAAATCTTTTTTCTTATTTTTTGTTAAAATTTTTTTCTGGTTGCTTACATATAGCTTAACCAAAGTCATGGCTAAGTTAAAGTCTATATGTATTGGTAGGTATTAATTTGGTTAGTTTTAGTTATAAGTCGCTTGCCACATAGAGCCAGTCATAGTCATAACTAGTTAAAACTTATCGATTACATTACATTTACTCAAACACTCTTAAGTTAAGTTGTGTAAATGGAGGTTTGTGTTTTTTTAGATTTTTTTCTCTTTCAGAAAACTTTATATTTATCACTCATTTTGATCAAAATATTCATAAGTAATAAATGAAAAACAATCAGGTTTTAATAGATAATTCATTATTTAAGATTTTCTTATCTGAATCTGGTCACTTTATACTACTTTTTTTTCTTTTTGTATAAAGAACTCATTATGTTTAAGGGGTCCACATATTCGTACCTTTATATGGTATAAGTAGATGTATAAAGATGTGTCGAACAATTAAGTTGTCCTTGACAATGAACGTTGAAAAAAAGAACAAGCTTTTAAAGCACATACACTTAGAAAAAAATAGTAGTATTATATCAAATGAAAAATATTTCGAAAATTATCTATACAAATAGAAACTAAAACCATTTGAACAATTTTTTGAAAAATTTTCTATAAAACGAGAGTTTTTCAGAATATTTTCTATTAAAAGAGAATTTTTCAGAATATTTTTTATTAAAAGAGAATTATTTAGAATATTTTTAATTAAAAGAGAATTTTTCAGAATATTTTTTATTAAAAGAGAATTTTTCAGAATATTTTTTATAAACAGAGAATTTTTCAGAATATTTTTTATATTTTTATTAAAAGAGAATTATTCAGAATATTTTTAATTAAAAGAGAATTTTTCAGAATATTTTTTATTAAAAGAGAATTTTTCCGAATATTTTTTATAAACAGAGAATTTTTCCGAATATTTTTTATAAACAGAGAATTTTTCAAAAATTTTCTATAAAAAGAGAATTTTTCGAAAATTTTCTATCAAAAGAGAATTTTTCAAAAATTTTCTATAAAAAGAGAATTTTTCAAAAACTTTCTATAAAAGGAGAATTTTTCAAAAATTTTCTATAAAAATAGAATTTTTCAAAAATTTTATATAAAAATAGAATTTTTCAAAAATTTTATATAAAAGGAGAATTTTTCAAAAATTTTCAATAAGAAGGGAAATTTGCAAAAATTTTCTATGAAAAGAGAATTTTTCAAAAATTTTCTATAAAAAGAGCAATTTTCGAAAAGTTTCTATAAAAAGAGAATTTTTCAAAAAATTTCTATGAAAAGAGAATTTTTTCCAAAATGTTTTTTAAAAAAATAATGTTTTGAAAATTGTCTATAAAAAAAGAATTTTTCCAAAATTTTCTATAAAAAGAGTATATAGAAAGCTATCAAAAGCTTTCTAAACAAAAATAATTTCTCAAAATCTTCCCAAAAAATTTGAACATTTCTCAAAAATCCTTTATAAATATAACATTTAAGAAAATTTCTCTCTGTGTATTTTTCTGCTTAACTAAAGTAATGAAACTTGAAACTTTATTAGTTTAAGGCTTTTGTTTTTGCGCTTAAAGTGGCTAAAATATAAACAGACCCCAACAGTACCCACTTAAGCTAAGTATGAAATAAAGATACCAAAACAAATGGACAGAATGGCCGAGGAAAAGACAGACTAGACTGGCTGACTTAACATCGGACAGTCACCAAAGATCTCAAGTGTATGGCATACATGTTATAGAATGTATATTAATTAACAGAAATTCATTAAATATCAACAAGCAATGAACACTTTTCGCAGTACTTGTAGCCTTTCAGTATCAAGTTTATTAACTCAGTTTCTTTAGTGTCCAAGTATCTGACTTCTTTACACATCCTAGGTATTGATTTACACAATTAGAACCAATAAAGTTTGGTTTTTTGAGAATATTTTATTTATTCTTTTTTTTTTTTGTTTTAAACTTAATTTTGTATATTTTGTACTTGACCTTCGTTTTGTAAAACACTTTAAGTTTCATGGTATTTTTTGTACCGTAGTATTTTAGCGTTGGAATATATGTTTTTTTTTTTTTTGGGAGGCAGAGAGCGAGAACAGTCTAATCATGGTGTTGTTATTTTCATGATAAACATAAAAGATTAACATACATTGTTGTATTGAAATATTGTTCTACTATTAACGTTTTTTGTTGTTGAAAGAACATATCTATAGGTGGGTAAATTTAAAAGAATTTACAATCCTTTACTAAATATATCAGTTATCGATCACATTTTTTCCTTATGGGGAAGAGAGTTCAGAGAGAGCAAATAAGGTATTGCTACATTACAGTGTATTTCATCATACAAGGAGGCAACTGATCCTTCGGTAAAGCCAACATTAAATTCTAATAACTTTTAAATTGACCCCTGTACACCCCCAAAAATAGAAACATTTGTACTTTATTTTCCAATTTAAGAAAAATCTAAAAGAACATAACAAAAAAATTGACTCCCTCATATACTATATAAATATTGCAACAGTAGATCTTTTAAATCTGTCTCTCTTTCTACACTCTATATCGGAGTATTTAGTCACGCTTTATGCCTAAAGCTCTATTATTATTCTTTTATTTTCTACACTTTGTTGTATTTGTTGTTGCTGTTAAACTTATTTCATATACAATGAAACAAAATCTAACAAATCGTTTGGTAAAACTTTTAGCAACTCCAAGGCATATTGTTCTGAAATGACAATGACCCTAAAGCATGGCCAATTAGTTAAGTTTTGTATTTTTCTATGATTATCTTAAAATGTAGCTTTTTGTTTGTTTGTTTACTGAGGATGGCTGGTTGGAAGACTGGGTGCCTAGAAAGAGTGTGTATGTGTGTGTTATAGTGGGATTTAAATGAGCTAAAGAAATGTTTTACTGCAGCGACTAGCTAAATTGTGGTAAGAAAATTTTATTTAATTTTTTTTCTTTTTTTTAAATTGTAAAATGCAAATAAAACAATTTTTAGCAGCAACAACAACAACCAGCTACAACAATAAGAACAAGACAAAAAACATGTTAATCCAATGACAATCTTCATGTAAACATCAGTCAACTGTTAGACGCCACATTCAGCTGTGGTTTACGTTCAAGTCATGTTTTACCTAAATTTGACATCAGATTGTTGTGGAGTTTTTTTTTTTACTTATTGTTTGTTTTTGTTACTTTAAGTTTTTTTTTTTAGTTCTGCAGTTATTTATGTTGTTTTATTTTGTAACTCACGTGCTATTTGTTTTGTTTTAAAGAAAGATTACAAAAAACAAACTGTAACGAAAAAAAAACATAAGGTTTTGATCTTGTTCTTGTCCACCCACTTTGTGTTAAGTTAAATTTGCTGTCATTGTCTTTCACGGACAAAATACAAGATTTTTCTGTGTAGTTTTTTGTTTTTATTTTTAGTTTAATTTGTTCTGGAACATAGCAGTGAGTTATGCAAGAACATAAAAGTCTAAGATTATATTTATTTTTCGAAATGAAGAAAAGACTAATAGTTTAAACTAGGCTTTGCACTAGGTTATATTATTTTATGTAAACTTTTTTTCGAGTTTTTGTATTCCTTACACAAAGAAGTATTTCCACTTTCTCTAAGATGTTGAAGAATATTGTTTAAATAAAATTTGTCAAGGTACGAGTGAGCGACTTTCTAAACCCAATAGTTCGCAGTACAAATAAGGTATGTGTCTTAAGTCTTTTGTTTTTCTTAAAGGTTTTTTTAGTTCTAGTGTGTTTATTTAATAGAACTCTACATTAAATTTATTATTTTAATACAAAATATGAATTTATCTAATCAAGTTTGCAAACACTGTTGAAGTTTGTTTCTTAAATCTTTTGTTTTTGTAAGTAAAAGCAACTTAACATTAAATTTGCATTTCGAAGTTTGTTTAAAAAAAGTTTGTGTCTTAAGTCTTTCGATTTGTTAAAGAAATTAATAAAAGTTTGACAAACATTGCTGCTAATATAAATTTTGTGGCTTCTGTGTCTCTTAAAGGAAAAGTTGCTCTACAATCTATTTATATTTCAGTTATAAAATCATGTATTAATAAAAGTTTGCCTAACAATGCTGCTTATATGAAGCTTGTGTCTTTAGTCTTTTGTTTTTGTTAAAGAAACAGGAAACCCAATATAAAAATTTTAGGTTACAAAATCTGTATCAATAAAAGTTTTGCAAACACTGATGAAAAACACCAAGCAGGCTCTAATAGCAACATTGACATAACAATTGATGTTCAATTATAACAATTACTTACTTTGTTTTACTAGTCTTTTTTCTCCTTTTTCTTCTTTTTGCCGTGATGTTGTGCTTATTTTTCTATTTATTTACATGTAAGATTTTCCATTTACTCCAGACTCGAAACAACCAGTAACACATTCTAAAATGAGAAGAAATCAACATAAAAAATTAAAAACCTTAAACAACATGTATTTAGGAGAATGATAGTAGAATAAAAAAAAACTTTAATTGCTTGTTTTTGCTATTCGGTTCTTAGCACTTAAAACTCATTAAAAGAAAGTTTTTTTTTTTCAAGTCAATAAAACCAATATAATTTTAGCAGATGGAAAAAATTGTATTTAAAACCGAAAAAAAAAACAACAGAAACTATATAGAACAAATTGAAGACTAAAAAATAGCACTTAGAAATAGAAAATGTTACACTGAAGCTGTAATAGTTAAACTTAAACTAAAGTTTAAAGTAAAATCATACACGCAGGAAAAAATATAGGTTAAAGGTTGCTAATTAGGAATATATACCATACTATATATTATACATATATAGACTAGACTTTAGCCCAGATTTTACACCAGATTATAGAGTAAACTTTAGACAAGACTATAGGTTAGACTATAGACTAGACTAGAATATAGACTAGACTTTAAATTGTACTATAGAAAATACTGTAGACAAGACAAAATAGACTATAGACTAGACTATAGACTAGACTATAGACTAGACTATAGACTAGACTACTAGACTAGGCTATAGACTAGACTATAGACTAGACTATAGAACTAGACTATAGACTAGACTATAGACTAGACTATAGACTAGACTATAGACTAGACTATAGACTAGACTATAGACTAGACTATAGACTAGACTATAGACTAGACTATAGACTAGACTATAGACTAGACTATAGACTAGACTATAGACTAGACTATAGACTAGACTATAGACTAGACTATAGACTAGACTATAGACTAGACTATAGACTAGACTATAGACTAGACTATAGACTAGACTATAGACTAGACTATAGACTAGACTATAGACTAGACTATAGACTAGACTATAGACTAGACTATAGACTAGACTATAGACTAGACTATAGACTAGACTATAGACTAGACTATAGACTAGACTATAGACTAGACTATAGACTAGACTATACTAGACTATAGACCTAGACTATAGACTAGACTATAGACTAGACTATAGACTAGACTATAGACTAGACTATAGACTAGACTATAGACTAGACTATAGACTAGACTATAGACTAGACTATAGACTAGACTATAGACTAGACTATAGACTAGACTATAGACTAGACTATAGACTAGACTATAGAACTAGACTATAGACTAGACTATAGACTGACTATAGACTACTATAGCTAGACTATAGACTAGACTATAGACTAGACTATAGACTAGACTATAGACTAGACTATAGACTAGACTATAGACTAGACTATAGACTAGACTATAGACTAGACTATAGACTAGACTATAGACTAGACTATAGACTAGACTATAGACTAGACTATAGACTAGACTATAGACTGACTATAGACTAGACTATAGACTAGACTATAGACTAGACTATAGACTAGACTATAGACTAGACTATAGACTAGACTATAGACTAGACTATAGACTAGACTATAGACTAGACTATAGACTAGACTATAGACTAGACTATAGACTAGACTATAGACTAGACTATAGACTAGACTATAGACTAGACTATAGACTAGACTATAGACTAGACTATAGACTAGACTATAGACTAGACTATAGACTAGACTATAGACTAGACTATAGACTAGACTATAGACTAGACTATAGACTAGACTATAGACTAGACTATAGACTAGACTAGACTAGACTAGACTATAGACTAGACTATAGACTAGACTATAGACTAGACTATAGACTAGACTATAGACTAGACTATAGACTATAGTCTAAAGACTGGAAATAATTACAATTTTATTATATTGTGGAATTTCTTTTAATAATGTTAACGCCAACCACACATTTTTTCTTTGGGTGTAAGTGCTGTAAAATGCAAGTTTAAACTAAATAGCAAGCTGGTTTTATAAGCGATAAAAAACAAAAACACTACAAACAAACACCAACAATTAGTTTTACTTACATACATGTAAAAAAACACATACATGTATGTCTGTACATACCAACATTTGAATCTATGTAAATGTCTAATGTAAAACACTACTTGGATTTTTTTCTTCCATAGATAGGCTGTTGTTGCTGTAGTTGTTGTTGTTGTTGCTGTGTGCCATTAACACAGTTTAAACTTTAAGAAGAAACTTTAAAACTATAACAACAGCAACAATTGCAATACACGTAATAAAAAATTAAAGAAAAATTAATGAAATTTCTCTATTTTCTAATGAAAAATAAAAAAAATACAAAACACCAAACAAACTCTAACAAAAAAAAAAAACTAATTAGAAAAAAAGTTTTGTAGTAAAATAAACAGTAGGCCATCAAAATCAAACAGCAATAACAATAATTACACTTTTAAGGAGTGTGTATGTGTGTGTGTTTGTGTGAAAGACTGGAATAAACGTTGTGTGAAAGATAAGGTTTAAAGCTTTTTTAAACGACCACTTGAGTTTGGTAGAAGGATGGGAGTACCAACCTAGTAAACTCATTAAAAAAATCTGCTAAATTGCAGTGTTTAGTAAATGGGCCAGTAATTAGGTTTAGAAAATGTATAAGGTAGCAATTGATTTCTTTTTTTTTTGTAACATGTAAATAGAGTTATTTAAGGGTAATAAATGAAAGAGAATAGTTAGTTAGTTAGTTTGAAAGGAGGATGTATATACATCAAATCCGAAGAAATACACCTAGGCCTCTATCGGGCCTGTTGTGCGCTCCTTAACCAGTGCCTCAGGTGGGAATCGAACCCACCACCTCCGGTCTACCAGACTAGAACACTAACCACTAACCTACCGGAGGCCACAATAAAAGAGAATAAGTAAACAAAATAAAGAAATATTTAAGATTGAATCTGCTTGAGATTTTCTTACTGAAAGTTTGATCAACATTTTAAAGATATTTTCTAAATTTTTAATATTTATTGTAAAAAAAAATATTTAAAATTTTGGTTAAAAAGGAAAATTTCGAAAGTTTTTGTTAAGTTTTGTTTTCTCTAAAATTTTTCTCTGGAGAAAGAAATATAATTTGAAATTTTCAACAAAAATAGAGTTTTTCCCAGAAAAACCAAAAATGGTTCATAAAAAAACTTTATACAAAAAAAATAGTTTGATGGGAATGGAATGTTGACCGAAAATTTTTACATTAAAAAATTATAATGAAAAGCTTCCAATTGATTTTTATCAAAATAACAGGTAATAAAGCTATTTTTCCAAAAACTGTTGTATCATTTATTTTTTTTTTTTTCTAACAATTTCTAATGCAGCTTTAGTTTAAGCTAAATTGCGTTTTAAAAAATAGTTTCTTCATTTTGAGGATTTACTATCTTTTTCTTGAAGAATGATTAAAATCTTTAAAGTCAAAAACCAACATGCGTTTAAGTTATGAACTCACTAATACATAAAAGCAATAAATATACGTAGGTAGTTTCTAAAATTAAAAGAAATCTTCAAACAAAATTACTTTTGTAGAGGAAACTTAGCTACAAACATTATTAAGCCAACTTTGTACAAAAACTTATTTTAAGCTTAGAAAAAGTTTAAAAAACCAAACATGCATGTTTAAGCTTAATGTCATGTTAGAGATTTTCTTTCTTTCTATTTTTTTTACCCATTTAATAAGAGTTCGGTTGGAAATTTTTGTTCATTACTGGTAAGCTTGTGGTTTTACCCATTCACGTGCCTTTAAATGAGAAAATATAAAAGAAAAGGGGGAGAAAAGGCAAGAAGACAGAAATAAACATTACCAAACGTAACTTAACAAAGTGGAAGCTAGAGAAAATTAAGTGGTAAATGAATACTTACATTGGTAATGGCATTGGTAATTGCTGGTTGCACCTACTCAGACAAACGTATGGAGGGACGGACAGACTGATGGTTGATTGTGTTTAAATGTTTAAAATAGCTGTGTACTTAGAGGATTAAAGGTCATTTGCATATTTTTACGAAATTACTTTAATAACACTGATTATTGTTTTTTTTTTCAAGTGGAATTTTTGTGTTTGTAATGAAATTCCTTTTAACATGTATACATCATTTTAAAATAATAAAACAAGTTACTTTGAAGGGGGGAAAAATTACCAGCATTTCTTTGATAAAGTTTAACAAGTTAATATATTTAACTGTTTTGCTTAATTTTGTTTAAGCCTTTTAACGAAAACCCCCTTAAGTTAAATATTTATTTGAAACTTGTGTTTTAAATTAAAACAAATATTTATTTATGATGATCATTCATTTTTTCGTTATTTTTAAATTTTTCGTTTGTTTTTTAAGGTTTGCGGATTTTTTTTTTGCAACACAAAGAATTTTTCGCTAACTTTTTTTTGTTGTTTTTTTATTTTGCTTTGTTTTAATTTCGAGGAATCGTTAGTTTTATCTTAAAAATTAAACAGAAGTTGGTTATTTATAAATCACATTTGTTAAAAATCTGCATGACGTCAATTTTTAATGTTATGCTTTTTATAAAGAATTGTTTTGCAAAAGCAAAAAAAAACCTTGAATGAAAAATTTTCTAAAAACTAAATTTTATGGTTTTTAATTTAAAATTAATTTTTATTTTAAAAAAATGGGTCATCATATATAAAATATATTGATGTTTCATTGACACCTAGAAAAACTAATCATTAATCTTTATAAATCTATAATTTGTTTATATTTTAACACTTTTAATTATAGTGTTAAATCAGGCCTAGTTTAGGTTTGTTTTAAGTTTTATTTATAATAATAATCTGTCTATTAAAAGATTAAGTTAATTAGAGTTTAACAAAGTATTAGTTATGAGAAGCTTAGCGGATTTCCTTTAAAGTTAAATATTTGTTAATTAAGTTATAGTTTAGAAATCTGTTAACTAATTATTAAATGCTTGTCAAATTTAAACGGCAGTTTTTTAATACATAGATAGCCTTAAAAAAAGTTCGTTTTCTAAGTCTTTTGTTTTCACACAACATGTTTAATAGAGAAAAAT